GAAGGGTCTAGGCCTGAAACGTCAGCCTCTCTGCTCCTATGATGCTGCTTGGCCTGCTGTGTTCATCCAGCCCTGCACCTTGTTGTCTCGGATTCTCCAGCATCTGCAGTTCCTACTATCTCTGATACATATAATAACTAACAACTTACGTTCATATAGCACTTTTAATATTATAAGATCTCTCAGCGCACTTCACAGAAGCATAACCAGCCAAAATCTGCAACTGCTGTGTCTAAAACCACAAGAAATTACAAAGAAAAGGTTTAACCATTTGTAAGCACGGTCCATTCCATCACTCAAACCAGTCTTCCATCCCTTGACTCTGTCTAGACTTCCTGCTGCCTCAGGAAAGTAGCCAACATAATCAAAGACCCCTCCCACCCTTGTTATACTCTCTTACGCCCTCTTCCATTGGGAGAAGATACAAAAGTTTGAAAACACGTACCAACAGATTCAAGAACAGCTTCTTCCCCACAGTTATCAGACTGTTGAATGGATCTCTCATATATTAAGTTGATCTTTCTCTGCACCTTTTCTGTACCTTTAAAACTATACTATGCATTCTGTTCTATGACCCTGATTTATTTATGTATGTTATAATTTGCCTGGATAGCACACAAAACAATACTTTTCACAGTATCTCGGTATATGTGGCAATAATCAAATCAAATCAAAACAAATCTGACACAGAATCATATAAAGAGATCTTAGGATAGAGATCAAACACCTCCGCTGACTCATGGGAGACCCTAGCTTGAAACAGACCAAAATGGCAATGGCTCATTCAGGAAGGCACAAAACACATTGAGAATTGGGAATTTATTGGGAATTTTCAGAAGCGAAGGATGGCATCCAACGGACAGCACAAACTCTGAACCAACTAATTGACTCAATCCTGCCTTGCAAGTGACGGAGTCACCAGATTTATACTTGATTTATCAGCCGCCTGTGAACCCATCAAACTGCCTTGGAAACAAGTTATCCTCAACCCCTTCTAAGAAGACGAAGGGAGGTTAAACAGAGATAGGGGAGGAATTCCAGGCTTTAAGTAATACAGCTTTGGTCAAAGAAGAAGAGTTGAATCTTGCTCTTTTTGGCTAACTATAATTTGCATTGAGTCTATGGAGGAATCTTGTTGTGAGAGCAAGTGACATTTCTCATGTTGCCTACCAACCTTACCTCAATAAATACCTACGCCGCCCTATGGTGCCTGCTTAATTCTATGCACATCTTACCACGTACCAATCCTGGAACAACTCACTCCTAAGGAGATATCCACTAAGAGGCCGGCATCCCTCGCCATCGTGGAAAGGCCATTGTGCACCCGGTCATTCTGACATTGCCTCTCATCAGCAAAGCAATGGCACAACTGCCAAAAAGCCACACTGCCCAAGTTATATAGCCAGTATGGCTGAAACTCTCCTCCATGTATAACCCATTCTTTCACCCTGGTTGCTGTTTAACCAGCACCTTATACAGTTTACCTGTCCTTCACTACATCACATCTAACCTTATGTACAGTATTCCTGGAACTCAAGGGTTAAAGTCTTCTTGCAAAGAATTGGCAGCTACTTTCATTCTTCACTAATTGCTTACATTGTAGTATAGTTTGAACTCAGTCATAAATATGATCCTAATTGCTGTTGCAGACAGTGGTACAAAATAATCTTGGTCCAATTCCACGTTTATCAGAATGGCTGAGTTGGCAGCATTCTGAAGTTGATCTTTACTTTCAGATGTAAATCAGCTTGAAATGATTAAGAAATAGTACAAATTCCACCTGCCAGGTCAAGTCCTATTAGCACTCAGTTCTCCAGTGTAAGGTGATCCGCCCAATTAAACACAGCAAAGGAAGTGAAATCAGAGAGACCTTGGGAGGAAGATCAAGCCAAATGTGGAAGGAAGGGGCAATCAAAGAGGAGTGTATGATATCAGTTATGACAGACGCAGTGGAGGGGTAGGTCATTGAACAATTTCTCAAGAAGCCTTTTCAAGAGCATCCAAGGACGTCTCAAACCATTAGCAGCTTTCCACAAGACTGATGAGGGCTGAGGATTATGAAATTGAGGCAATAATTAAGAGAATTCATACCATCACTACAGTCATAAGTCTGAAAGAAAGAGTAACCTAGCATCCAATTGCCTTACAAAATATAGCCAGTGCTGTGTGTTAAGATTTTCAAGAAAGATTGCTTCCTGTGTACAACACCATCTCCACAGGTCACCATGTCCACAAGGAGGTGAAGCCAAATTTTAAGCTCGACTGACTTATTGTTCCCTTTTAATGCTCTGCACAGCTGCTGCACTCACGTTTGCAGTAAATGGCACTGCATTGCATCAGTCTCTTCTGGCCCAGTATTAGTTTCTGCACCTGAGGCAAAATTACCACTGGTTTAGGTTGAGAAAGCGAAGCACAAAATTTGACACGGAACTTTCTACCCCAGAAGGTGATGGAGGCGAGGTCATTGACTATTTCTAAAATGAAAATAAATTGATTCTTAAACAAACAGTGAATGCTGGAGAAATTCAATAGGTCTGTCAACATTTGTGGAGAGAGAGAAACAGAGTTAACATTTCAAGTCTGGTACTGAAGATAGATCCTTGTTAGACAGGGCAATCAAAAGTTATCATGCGGAAATGAGAATGTGCAGTGCAGCCTGGCTGAGCAGGCCTCAGGAACTACTTGTTCTACTGTTGCTCCTGCCTTGTATATTTATAACGACATTGATGCTTCTGAAGATCCAGCACTGTATCTCAGACGAAAGATTAAATTAATTCAATGAATGTAAAAGATCCCATTGTGAAGAAGAGGTGATTTCTCCCCATGTCCTTTTTACAGTATTTATCCGTCAATCAATGCTATGTTAGCTAAACATCTAATCATAATCCCTTTGCTGGTTGTGGGAGTTTGCTGTGTGCAAATTGACATGTTTCCTGCATTACCAGAATGACAACGGTTCAACATGTTTCAGGACAGTCTGTAATTGTAATTCTTTTTATGTTATGTCAGATTGCCATGACTGTATCTCAACATTGTGCTTTTATTGCAGCCTCGATGAATGGCATGCATGTGAATTTTCATATGAACATACAAATTATGTATATAATTTATTAATTTATATACAGGTAATAGCCAATTCTGGTCTCCCTGTTATAGGAAGGATATTATTAAGCTAGAGAGAGTTCAGAAGAGATTCACCAGGATGTTGCTGCGAATGGAGGGTTTGAGTTATAAGGCGAGGCTGGATAGGGTGGGACTTTTTTCACTGGAGCATAGGAGGTTGAGAGGTGATCTAAAAGAAGTTTATAAAGTCATGAGGGATTTAAATAAGGTGAATGGCAGGTGTCTTTTCCCTAGGGTAGGGGATTTCAAGACTGGGGGCATATTTTTAGGTTGTGAGGAGAAAGATTTAAAAAAGACATGAGGGACAATTTCTTTTTTACAAAGCGTGGTTCATGTATGGAATGAAGAAGTGGATGGTGCGGGTACAGTTACAATGTTTAAAAGATATTTAAATAAGTGCATGAATAAGAAATTTTGAAGGGATATGAGCCAAGCACAGGCAGGTGGGAGTAGTTTAGTTTGGGATTATGGTCGGCATGGACTGATTGGACTGAAGGGTCTGTTTCTGTGTTGTATGAATCTATGACTCTACAAATTAGGAGCAGGCATAGGCCATTCAGCCTGCTCCACCATTTGATAAGATCATGGCTGATCTGATTTTGGCCTTGACTCCACTTTCCTGCTTACCTCCAAAATACTTAGTCTTTAATCAAGACTCTGCCATCTTTGCCTTAAAAATATTCAATGACTTTATTTTCACTACTCTCTGGGGAAGAGAATTTCACAGATTTATGACCCTCTGCAGAAATTAAAAATTTACTACATCTGTCTTACACAAGTGACTTTATTTTTAAACTTCACCCCCCAATTCTAGTCTCTCCCATGAGCAGAAACATCCTTTCAGCATTCACCCAGTCAAGATCCCTCAGGACCTTGTATGTTTGAATAATATTATTGCTCATTTTTCAAAAGTCGAGTAGATGCAGAGCAACCTTTCCTTTCAAGATATTTGCTTATCATAGGAACCCTTTGAAGGAACCATCTCTGCCTTGCTTGTAAAGCAATTATATCTTTTCTTAAATAAGGCAACTAAAAAATGTCCTGTACTCAAACTGGAGTCTCATTAATACCTTGTACAACTGTAGCAAAACGTCTCTGCTTCAATATTCATTCTCCTTCTGATAAATTCTATTTGCCTTTCTAATCATTCGTTTAACCTTCAAACTAACTTCTTGCAATTGATATCTCCAGACATCCACATCGTTCCATACCTCAGAAGACTGCAATCTCTCACTATTTAAATAATATGCTGCTTTTCTATTTTCCCTGCCTACATGGGCAATTTCACATTTTCACACATAAACTCCATCTGCCAAATATTCTGCATCAGCATTCAATGCTGTACTAGCACTAACAATGTAGTGCCATTTATTTGCTGAATGATACATAATTTCAGTCTGTAAATTTGCAGACACTTAAACTGACACATATATTCACACACACAAACAAAAAGAATCCATTCAAAGTAAACAAATTCCTACTCCACAGTGCTGTAATCTTTGCCCAGCAGACTTTGGCCATGGTCCATGCATAACTTGAAGTATAAAAGGAAGTAAATGATGCAGCTTTGAAGCTGTCACCTAGAATGTGAAGGAGGAGTTATATCATTGTGGCCATGCTGCCTTTGTAGACGTACATCCCATTCACAAATAGTTTAATAGCCAGTACCTCATGGTTTCCTGAATTTGGGACAGTGATGTATATCTATTTCTATATTTTAATATCATTTATTTTAGAGTTTGGATTTTGAGTTATTGGTATGTAGGCTTGATCTGTATCTATAAATGTGGTTTAGTGATTAACTTGTAAGCATTTCTGTAGCCAGGATGATATATTGTAAAACACGGTAGAAGAGAGAGAGACATCCTTGAGATTAATGGAGTTTTGGTTCCATTGGGAGATTTTTTACAACTGATCAAATTAAATATTGTAGTGCATCAGGTTTCCATTAGAAGGTGCTGGGATTTCTTTTTGGCTTATGGGGAACGCCTCTAATTTGAAGAAAGCCCTTTTGGTTGCAGGGTTGCAGAAGTGTTGGCTGAAGCTCAATGTGTAAGACAGTTTTTCCTAAGTAAGGGAGATAGTTTAGAATTGTTAAAAAAAACTTAC